TTTTAGTGATAACTTGGTCTGTAAGAATGTGCCATATAATTAACCATAACTTAAATAGTTATTTATATATAGCACATTCTTACAGACCAAAGTCGCCCAAACGCTTCACAATGTTCAGATGTTTTCAGATATTGTTCCATTCTCTCCACACGGTGATGACAGAAGCGAGACCAGGGCACGTTGAGCTGGAGCAGGGATAGGCAGGATGGTGTTGAAGGCGGAGCTGAAGTCCACGAACAGGACCCTGGCGTAGGTCCCCGGGGAGTCCAGGTGCTGTAGGATGTGGTGGAGGACCAGGTTAATGGCGTCGTCTACAGATCTGTTGGCTCTGTAGGCGAACTGCAGGGGGTCCAGGAGGGGGGAGGTGAAGGACTTGAGGTGGAGGAGGACCAGGCGCTCAAATTACTTCATGTCAACTCAGACATGAAGTCAGATGATGACAGATTAGGGCCCTTTAATGATGACAGATTAGGGCCCTTTAATGATGACAGATTAGAGCCCTTTAATGATGACAGATTAGGGTCCTTTAATGATGACAGATTAGGGCCCTTTAAGGATGACGGATTAGGGCCCTTTAAGGATGACAGATTAGGGCCCTTTAATGATGACAGATTAGAACCCTTTAAAGATGACAGATTAGGGCCCTTTAAAGATGACAGATTAGGGCCCTTTAATGATGACAGATTAGGGCCCTTTAATGATGACAGATTAGGGCCCTTTAAGGATGACAGATTAGGGCCCTTTAATGATGACAGATTAGGGCCCTTTAATGATGACAGATTAGGGCTCTTCATCAGAAACCTCTAAGCCTAAATTAATAACTGAAATCAATGAGTTATTTGTATTTCCTTAATTTTATAATCAGGCAAAAACATCTCACATTACCAGCAGTCAGGTGCTAAATCAAGCGCTACTCAGAGTTTAGAAAAGGAACATATTGCAAAAATCCTCTTGAAATATTGTTAATGAAACGTCCAAAAACGAGCAGACGGCCGATAACAGGGAACTATAAAGTGACAGATTAATCACACATTTTCCAGTCTGCTTTTCAGATGACTTTAAAAAGACGATCCAGAGAATATAAAGTAGCCTGATTCAAAACATCTAGACAGAAACATGGAAGAATACATTGGTTCATTCTGACCCGGTACAAATATATTCTTTTGCTTTTGTGTTTTCAAGAACGTTAGTGGGTTTATGCTTTACACGATATTCTTCTTCTTCTAAGGGCAGCTACAGGTTTGGCTAACATTCATATAACACGTTTTAAGATCATTTAAAAGGCACTTAGGGTAATGTTCCAATGACGAAAGGAATGATGAGAAAGAGAAGTGAAGGTTGATGTTAGAAATTGGATGCGCCCGAGAGTCGGCTGCTGCAGCGAGACACAGAGGATTCAGATTCAGTTTATTTGCCATTTGCTGTAAAGAAACCACATTGGAATATCTTTGCAAAAGTCACCAGTGTGCACAGACAAATACAGACATAACACAACATTAAAAGTGCAGAAATAAACATATAAAACTGTAAACAAATGTCAAACCGTTTCAATACAGGTGCAAGAACATTAAAGTGCTCTGTTCAGACTGATAACAGCTCGTGGGAAGAAGCTGTTAGCATGTCCTGCATCTCAGAGAGCAATATCTTCTGCCAGATGGAAGAAGCTGGAACATGGCTTTCCCAGGGTGGCCAGAAGAGTCATTGACAATCCTAAGAGCTTTGTTTAAAAGAGTTTTTGGAGGAGACACCCGTTTGATTTTACTTTTTAAAACTCATTGGACTTATTTCCAAATGGAGGATTACATATCTGCGCTCAAACTATTATCTGGACTTAAACATGGAACTGGTTTGAACTGGTCTGTGCAGTTTATGTTTAAGGTAAGGCCCATAACTCACTTTCAAATGTGTTTTTTCATACTTTTTTCAGACATAAAACATATTCTGCTGCAGCCAAACAATTTGTGACTAAGCCGCTCTATAGGTCCTGTTGATATATGTTCATCTGATTGGGCTGAAGTCAGTGTCTCACCAATCACCAACCTCTCTGAACTCTGAAACTTTCTCTGAAGAAAAAACACAAAAAAACCGCTGCAAAGTTTAATCCTGAATCTGCCAGAATCTGCTGCTAAATGTTTTCCTTTGTCTTTTTACTAGACTAGCTTTTCCAAATGCTTTTCCATGTCCACACTTCATTCCCGAGATTATAAAAACATAACAGGACGGACTTGGTTTTAATCCGTGCCGTTCCTCCGGGCTCTCCTCCGTCTCTGCAGTGGTTCAGTGCTCTTTACAGCCTCTTGACACTTGTAATAAAAGTAATAAATCTCCTTTTATTCATGTGGACCTGGACCTGGACAACAGAAGCCTTTTCCGAACGCCGCTGACAGATGTATCAATGTGGAAACGCAAGCTGCTTTCTCTTTTTGTCGCGCAGCTAATCCTCATTGACGGTAACATCAACATTTTGGCCTAAACGGTTTGTAGTGTTTCAGTCGATAAA